TAAAGTGAGATTTCTGTGGTAAAAACACGTCTTATGGCTTGCCTGGTGTGTGTATTTGTGTTTAACATTGCATTAACTATCCATTTAATTCAGGTGGAAGGGGTTTTTATCCACACTTTTTCCCCACCACAACTTATTTGGTATATATATATTTGTGGTCAGTACAATAAAAAGCCGTAAGTATAATTGATACCTTCTCATACCAGGAGGAGTATGACTAATTCGGTTGAGGTGTGCCGAAACCGACGTATTGGTAGACCTATAAATAAAGTGGGCCCACCAAGAAAGGTAGATTTAAGTGAAATAATAATTTTAAAAAGGTGGAGTGGTGGGAGGGAATCAAAATGGAACGAATGCCTAGGAGAAGTCTAATGCCGAGGGTGAGTATTTATATCAGCACTAGCCCCTCTCACAACTCCAGGCTCTGCCTTTACATTTGTGGTCACTACAATAAAAAACCATAAGTATAATTGATACCTTCTCATACCAGTAGGAGTATGACTAATTCGGTTGAGGTGTGCCGAAACTGACTGATTGGTAGACCTGTAAATAAAGTGGGCAAAAGATGTATGCCAAAAGATTTTATTCAATCAACCATCAACTTAGTACAACATAACATCATAATGCCAAATGTTGGAAAGCTTGTCTGATTTCTCTCTCAGGTTGTGGTATGTACTTACAGTGTGCTGTAGATTTCCAGCTCCGCATTGACTTGAGAATATGAATAGGTATGTTCCTTTGTGAGGCTGCTGAAGCTGCTCCAATACGGAAAGAATGCCCAGAGTAACGTGAGGGGTTAAGGCCTAACCTCATCAACAAGATTCTAATATAAAGCATGAATTTGCTTGTCGTGAGGATGGTGCCTTGTAAGATGAGTAACGGGTGATTTGTAGGTGCTTGTAAATTAGTCAGATAGGTATTGAAAGTCTTTACAGGACACCATTTATTAAAGGTGGGGTAATAAGGTATTGTGACGGTTTGCCCCGGTATGTAACAGTGAGAGGAGATAATGGTCTTCTTGTTTAATTAGCTGGCCAATATTAAGACAGGACTTAGCGTCGGTAGTATGGATTGTAGTAAATTCTCTGGGCCTAAGGAACCCGTAAAAAGCGAAATATATAGTGACTTAAGGTGGTTTTAGGTTCAAAGGGGAAGTTATCCAAAAGGTCTGATAGTGATCTGAACATATTCCCCCTAATAGGCAATCTTTGTCATGCTAGTGTTGTACTGCTCCTCTGAATTCCTTTTAATAAGGTCTTAATTTGGTAGGAGGACAAGAAGGTCTGTCTGTTTGGAAATAAAGTTAACATGTGGTGCTGTAAGCCTGTGAGGTAGAGTTTAATTGTATTGTAAGACAAATGTAAATTGAGGTGGCAAAAAGAGGCAAATGCTACCAAAGTTTCCATAGCGAATACGTCTGCCACCTGGAAGTCCCTAGTAAATTTTACAAAAACATTAAGAGCTCTTTTGTATGTACGCCTGAGTTTTTGGACAGAACTCTCTGTGACAGTATTCTGCCATGCTCTAGGAGTTGCCTCAATCCAATATGAAGTCTTGAAACTGGGGTGCTGGAGTTGCTACCAAGGAAGCATTGGGATGGAGTAGGCGGAATTCCTGAAAACGAAAGCGGGACAAATGGTCAGCTGCTACGTCCTGAACACCCGGTACATGTGTGCAATACAAAAAGAACTGATGAGTTGCCGCAAGCCAAGTTATTTGCTTCATGAAACTCATAATTATTAAAGAGGGGGACCGGCCTTTGTTAATAATGTGGCATGTCGCTTGGTTATCTGAGTAACAATGGACTGTGTGTCCCAACCAAGAGTGTCCCCAAGTTTCTGCTGCAGCCACGATAGGGTATACTTTTAGTAATGCTGAAGTGTGACCAAAGGCCTCCAATGTTCTAGTCTCAGGCGGCCAACTGCCCGATAACCATTGGTCACCCCAGATGACCGCAAAACCAGAAGAAGCCGACCACAGTTTTGAGGAATTGGGGGACAGTGGAGGTATGAATATGGACTTCCCATTCTACTGAAATAAGATATCATGCCACATGCGTAAATCAGCTGTGGCCTGGGTATCCAGGGAGACCATGCTGTCTTTGGAAGGCAGGTTAGGCAATAGACATAAAAGTCTAGAAATAAATGACCTGCCCTGCGGGATGATTCTCATGGCAAAATTTAACGACCCCAACAATGACTGTAACTCCTTCCGACTACAGCAATCCCGTCGCAAGTAGTCACTAATGTCTGCTAGGATACATAAATTTAAGAGTAACCAGCATAAGGCCTCTGCGAAGGTATTGAATATCCTCAGGCTACTTTTAGACCCAAACGTTAGTCGGTTGAAAAAATAATACTGGTTTCTCCATTTAATACCATGCAGATGCCACAGCGATGGGTGAATAGGAAGCAGTTTAAAGGCGTTAACAATATCTGTTTTGCTTAACGATGCTCCTACCCCCGCCGCTATGGTGGTTTGTACCACGTCCTCTATCGTAGTGTACTGCAATGAGAACTCTTCTGAAGGGATTAATGAATTCAAACTGGGAATGGTGGAGGAGTGAGGTGCAGAAAGGTCAATAATCAATCTTTTCTTCGAAGAGTGTTTCCCAGTTACAATACCAATCGGGTTTGTACGCCAACTAGAGAATGGGGATGTGGAAAAGGGGCTTATGACAAACCCTTGATTCAGTTCCTGTGTTAACAGTGAATCAACTGCACCCCGGACAAGGTATAACTCACTGTACTGCTGTAAGAATAAGTCTGGTCGGGTAGTTAGGCTTCTACCGTGACTCTCGCATCTGTTTGCACACTGGATACTTCCCGGAAGTGACGTCACGCTCAAAACGGAACGAATGCCTAGGAGGAGTCTAGTGCCGAGGGTGAGTATTTATATCAGCACTAGCCCTTCCCACAACTCCAGGCTCCGCCTTTACACACACACACATATATATATATATATATATATATATAAATACATATAAAAGAAACCAAGAGGGCTGCACTCACCTAAACATGCATATATTATAAGGTGCTGCTGGGGCCAAAATATACAAAATACAGAATCCAGGGCACTCGCTTATTCACTAAACAATGATTTCAAATCTTAGAGATTGTAATAGTTTTATTTAAAAACACATTACCTAGGCAAAAAATGATGAGGGTTTAGTTACATTATATGATCATACATTGAATAGGCCTGCCAACTACGTCAAAGTACCCCATATTCGGCAGGTCCTATCCTAGTAGCAGCCTAATGTTGCTCTTATGAGATTAATCCACTTACTTGGGAAATACTTCCTTACTGGGACTCTCTGCAAGTCAAGGCTAGATAGGGTCCTGGAATGAGGCAACTGTAACAAGGAGGGGTGCAAAACCAAGGAGTTGGCCTGGGACTCCCAAATATATAAAATAAACCAAGAGGGCTGCACTCACCTGAACATGCATACATTATACTGCAGAGAGTCCCAGTCTTGATAAACTTGGGAATTAATTTTTCCTTCGATGATAGCAATCCGTCCAGGCCCTGACGCAGCAAAGCAGCTCCAAATCATGATGCCCCCACCACCATACTTCACAGTTGGGATGAGGTTTTGATGTTGGTGTGCTGTGCCTTTTTTTCACCACACAAAGTGTTGTGTGTTTCTTCCAAACAACTCAACTTTGGTTTCATCTGTCCACAGAATATTTTGCCAGTACTGCTGTGGAACATCCAGTTGCTCTTGTGCAAATTGTAAATGTGCAGCAATGTTTTGTTTGGACAGCAGTGGCTTTCTCTGTGGTATCCTCCCATGAAATCCATTCTTGTTTAGTGTTTTACGTATTATAGATTCGCTAACAGGGATGTTAGCATTTGCCAGTGACGTTTGTAAGTCTTTAGCTGACACTCTAGGATTCTTCTTCACCTCATTGAGCAGTCTGCGCTGTGCTCTTGCAGTCATCTTTACAGGCTGGCCACTCCTAGGGAGAGTAGCAGCAGTGCTGAACTTTCTCCATTTATAGACCATTTGTCTTACCGTGGACTGATGAACAGCAAGGCTTTTGGAGATTCTTTTATAACCCATTCCAGCTTTATGCAAGTCAACAATTCTTAATTGTAGGTCTTCTGAGAGCTCTTTTGTGTGAGGCATCATTCACATCAGACAATGCTTCTTGTGAAAAGCAAACCCAGAACTGGTGTATGGTTTTTATAGGGCAGGGCAGCTGTAACCAACACCTCCAATCTCATCTCATTGACTGGACTCCAGTTGGCTGACATCGCACTCCAATTAACTCTTGGAGATGTCATTAGTCTAGGGGTTCACATACTTTTTCCACATGCACTGTGAATGTTTACATGGTGTGTTCAATTAAAACATGGCAACATTTCATTCTTTGTGTGTTATTAGTTTAAGCAGACTGTGATTGTCTATTGTTGTGACTTAGATGATGATCAGATCACATTTTATGACCAATTTGTGAAGAAATCCATATCATTCCAAAGGGTTCACATACTTTTTCTTGCAACTGTATATATATTATATTATATATTATATTATATATATATAAATAACATTGTCCAATCCTTGCACTCCAGTAAAAATATAAATATAGCCCGGTGCTTGACAGCAAAAATTGATAGTAATAGGATAGGAAAAGCACTCCAAGGACATCATTTAAAGTGTGAAAAAGTTACTTAACTTTATTCAGCAACTGCCACGGATGATCAACGTTTCAGTCCTATGTCAGGACTTTTGTCAGGATACATGTGCAATATAATTGTCACAGTATAAATAGCAAAGTAAATCAAATAAAGTACATTGTATTCAGCTGGAACTTATATGCCTAAAAAAGAAAGAAACTGACCTAGACCTACATGGGCTGTTTTTGTCGGAATATCACAGACAACTGCAGATACCCAGGGGATTTAGAATAAAGAAAATCCCCACCATAGGACGTGCCAAACCGAAAGTCTGTAAGAAGTAGATAGCGGTCTTGACTTGATCCTCATCATAATAGAGGACGTCAAAGAAGATCTTCTCAAAATTAGACAGAGGATCACACAACTGGAAGCCAGAGAAGCGATACTACTGACATCCACTGAAGTGGCCCCCACTCTCTTGAGACTGGAACAGAACATAAAAGAATATAAGACAAATCTCATCAGGTTCAAGCGTGAGAAACAAGAAAAGGTGAGAAGCGACTACGCTGGGTCTATCGGTGGCTCAGCGGCCAGAACGTAATTCCACGCTTCGCTAGAAATAGGCGACCCATCAGAAGACCAAGACAGTTTATGATCGATAAAACTTCAGGAGAATCCACTTCTGACTCAGACACTCAACAAAGACCAGAAATTTTTCAAGCCACAAGCCATTTTGTAGAGAGGGGTACAACACCCATAGGAACAACCACAAGACTGTGTTCCAGACTAGACCTATAACCAAACGCAACATCACAAGACAGCATTTTCTGGTCTAAGAGGCAGACCACTACGTCGGAGGTAATCCCAGTCTTTAATCTATCTACACGTAAACTCAGCAAAGCTGAGAATCGACTGCTAATGAAAGGACTGTCTTTTGTACCCACGACCTATCCTATCCCTCTCACTCAAGAAGTTGAAAACTACAGATTTGGGAGAACACTAAGATTGAAGGATTTCTTCAAAACAGAAATTCCAGTGAATAAGCCTATCAGCCACTTTAAACCCAAAAGTACTTGGGACCCATTGCCTAACCAATCAACCATCAAAATGTTTCTTAAATCATTGAACCAAGAAACACAGCATCACCTAACCCATGCTAATAAACATAAATCAAATATCCCCAAAGAAGAACACCGAATTATCAGCTCACTTGCCAAGGACCCTAACCTAATTCAACCTGATGAATTACAGCGACTACAGACAAGAGATCTTAACACAGCTACAAGATACTACCACCTATTCTAAACTTACAGCTGATCCTACACAAGCAATTATTCTCAATATCCAACAGACACTTCAACGGGGACTAGAAGCAGCCTACATCACACAGGAACTGTACCAGTATCTTTTACAAAAAAAAAAAACAGAACTCCAGTGATCTATACACTGCCTAAAATACATAAGCACCCTACCTCACCCCCGGGAAGACCCATAATGTCGGCAATAGGAGGGGTACTTGAGCCTATAGCCAAATGGCTAGACTCCTTATTCAAGAAACCAGTATAGGAACTAACAACGTGTATCAAAGATACGCCAAGTCTATTAGCACTACTACAACAGTTCACCAACCTGGAAGAAGGAGCCACATTCAAAAGTTTATACACAATTATTCCGCATAACACAGGCATCGATGCGATGAGTAAGATCCTCACGACATCTCCCTCCTACTTGGGACCACCAGTAGAATACATTCTGGAACTGCTATGCCTGGTACTCAACCAAAACTACTTCAAGTTTGAACATAAGTGGTATCAACAAGTTGCTGGAACATCAATGGGAGCGGCCATGGCGCCAATGTACGTGAACAATTTTATGTACATATTCAAACAGGAACACATTCTCACACCATTTCAAGACAATATACTTTTTTACCGTTGTTTTATCGACGATATTATGATTTGGAAAAAAGTAGGACCTACCCCTGAAGAAATGCTAGAGACTGTCAACAACCTGAACACACCGGTTCATCTCACCATGACTACGAATGACCAAACTATAGACTTCCTTGATGTACGGCTATATAAAGAGAAAGGCAAAATAGCCTATACCTTGTACAGTAAACCTACAGATAAAAACACTATTCTGCATGCAGACGGCTATCACCCAAGGCATCTAAAGAACTCTCTCCCACAATCTCAATTTATGAGGGTAATTAGGAACAATTCCAATGAGGCAAACGCACAACTACAGATACAACAAATGTGGGATAAGTTTGTGACCCGCGGATACAGCACCACTAATCTACAGCAAGCCTTGAACAAATGCTATGAAAAACCATCACCACTGATTGCCAAACAGGAAATATTGATATTTCCTATTACCTATACGACCATATCAAACTATATCAAGGAATCCATCAACCAGAACTGGCGAATGATGCTTAATGACACCGGTTTACCTAGACAGTTCAAGCAACCACCGATGATGTGCTATCAAAGAGGCAAGAACCTAAGAGACCTACTGGTTAAGAACGACCCCACACACTGCTATGATCAACCTACAACTCATCTCAATTTGGGATGTTACAGGTGCCTGGAGTGCGTAACATGTAGTCACATGTTACCAAGCAAGACGTTCACCCATCCGCACACTGGTAAGAAATATACTATTAGGCATAGACTTATCTGTACCAGCGATTACGTTGTGTACAAACTTGTTTGCCCTTGTGGCCTGGCATATGTGGGAAAAACTGACTTACCACTAAGGGAATGAATACGCAACCACCGATCCAGTATACGCATAGCATACAGGGAGAAGGGCTCAGAATTGCCTGTGGCAAAACACTTCTTGGAGCATAGCCCCCCCTTACCTTCCATGAAGTTCACAGCGATAGGTCACATCCCACAACCCACAAGAGGAGGCGACCGTAAGAAAATCCTACTCCAGAGGGAACTACACTGGATCAGAACTTTGGACACTGTCCATCCCAATGGTTTAAATGAGAAATACACCTAGGGAATTTGTCTATAATTATGTACTTTGATATCTTATTTTTATTTTTGTTTCTGACGCACGTATGAACTTAGTCTAGGATTACACATGCTTCTGATATTATAAAACAGATCCTCATATTCACATATTAACAAACACATTGTGTATAGGGGTCGCAGCAACACATAGTCTGCTTCAATTGGCATCTGTATATTGACATACACATGTGTGTTAATCTATACTTGCATCAGTTCCAGTCACTCACTTCTCCACTAGAGGGTAGCAGTCAATGATACCTACATCTGTTGAGCTACCTGACATACATTCTATTTGTTATCTCCCCTTTATAAGTTGACATCACTCAGAGGACACATGGTTCACTCAGTGCCACCTGCCGTTTTGGATCCGTTTTTGTTCATACATGAACTCACAGAGATCATAAGCTATTCTCCTTAGCAACCTATAGTTACTATGGTTAACAACTTATCATATAGCATCGAGACCATGTACCCTCAAAACATTGTAAAATGCCCTCATATTCCTGCCTACCTCCTCCTCAACATACAGACTTGCATGTACATCTAGCAATTTATTCTTTAGGACATTGCATATAGGCATGCATATATCAATATAGCCTTGACTCTATCGGATTTATAGTTGTAGATAATCTGCATATGTGCATAGTTATCCACAAGATGGAAGTATTGTGAATGGAAGGCTAGCAGCAGTTATGACTTAGAAAACGATAATGTATTTAGCAACTCATTTATTTATGTTATTTTCTTATGATGTCTCCTTTCCCCATGAGCTCTGTGTAATGCTATCCCCTTCTATAAACGATCGGCTGGTCGCCATGACATCATGTGTAGTACACGCCCCATTGCGTTCCAGCCTCGGCAACTGCTGGAACGCAAGGGTTGCACATCAGCAGAAACCCCAGCTGCTGAAAACACTTAGCAGGGTCAAATTTACCTGCTTTTTTTGGCATCCTGGAGGTGATCTAACACAGAGTCATGGGTAAGTCTCAGCTGTATACAATGTAATTTGATTTACTTTGCTATTTATACTGTGACAATTGTATTGCACATGTATCCTGACTTAGTCCTGACATAGGACTGAAATGTTGCTCATCCGTGGCAGTTGCTGAATAAAGTTAAGTTACTTTTTCACTCTTTAAATGAAGTCCTTGGAGTGCTTTTCCTATCCTATTTCTATCATTTTTTGCTGTCAAGCACATGGCTATATTTATATTTTTACTGGAGTGCAAGCATTGGACAATGTTATATATATATATATATATATATATATATATACATATATATATACATATATATATATATATATACATATATATATACATATATATATATATATATATATATATATATATATATATATATATATATATATATATATATATATATATATATATATATATATATATATTGTGATAAAGTGAAGGCAGAGAGTCCTTTAACATTTAACCCCAGGGGAAGTAAGTATTGTATGTGTGGTGTGCAATACAAAGCTACGTTTAGTTATGGGCCCCTGGGGTGGAGCATTTGGAGAGCAGGGTGGACCAATGCTCCACTCCTCAGTTTATACACAACTGGGAGAAATAAGGTCCAGGCCAGAGTTTTTTGGAACTGTCTCCAACCCACTGCTCAGCTGCAGATAATCAGCTGTAGCAGTGTGAATAAACCCCTCCCTGCTAGGCAGGTAAAGGGAGATTGCTGGCTTCCTCCCTGGAAGCAGGTCGGAGAGAGGCTGTTCTCTCCAGTGAGAGAGTCAAGGAGATTGAGCACTAGGAGTGCAGAAATAAAGCAGTTAAGGCTGGTTTGGAGCACTGGGACTGCAGAAGGAAGCAGTCAAGGCTGGCTTGGAGCACTGGGAGTGCAGAAAGGAAAGCAGCTAAGGCTGGCTTGGAGCACTGGGAGTGTAGAAAGGAAAGCAACAGGCTGAATTAGCACTGGAGTGCAGAGAGCTGACAAAGACGCTAGGTTGGTGAAACCAATATTGTTTTGTTCTAGTTTAACCCCTGAGAGATAGGGAACATGAAGTTAGTAAGTGCTCAGACGAGCTAGGTTTTTGTTTATAGGGATTTGTGTTATATTTCTGTTTTCATTTGCTGCTGTCTCCTCTGTGGACTTACAAATAAAGTGCCTGGATTATATGCAAATAAAAGGACTGTGCCTGTTGTTTACCCTAGAGGACCGTGCTATCTGTAAACAAGGATCACAATATATATACCCATACATATTTTATATATATACATAAACACACACACACACATATGTATTTATAACATCATTCTAAATGTATTTTGATTTAAATATATGTATATTAATATCAAAATACAGTTAAAACAAATATATATTATTTTTTCCATTTTTTTCAATTTATATATTGACTATTTTTAATATATATTAACTTCATTCCAAGTGTATTTTAAAATATATATATATATTAAAATACACTTAGAACAATAGTTTGTGTATGAGCATATAAAAGTACTTAGATCGTGCGTGTGTGTGTGTGTGTGTGTGTGTGTGTGTATATATATATATATATATATTACTTGTATTAGGGGCAAAAAGGCCGTATAGAGACACAGTGATAAAGTTAAGAGTAGTTTAGAGAAAGTGTAAAAGTCGGTTGTGGTGTGCCGGAACCGATGAAGCAGTAGGGCCTGTAAATAAAGAAGGCAAAAATATAGATTCATGCAATTTTAATATTGCCAACAATATACATATATATTATACAGACTTTTTTTAAAGGTATGACGTATCTCTGGTTGCGGAATGTACTGAGAGTATATTGAGGACTTCCAACGACCTAGGGTTTTAATTATGTGGACTGGTATTCATGCTTGAGGCCGTAGAAGCTGCCCCTGAATAGTTGCAAGGGTTGAGGCCTAGTCGCACAATTAATGATCTCATGTATAGCATGAATTTTGCTGTCATAAGGACAGACCCGTGTAGTGAAAGAAGAGGTTGTGAATGGTGATTGCATGGGGTTAGTAGTTTAGTAGATAGGAGTCTGATACAGCGACAGGGTACCATTTGTTTTTTGTAGGGTAGTATGGAATGTCTACTGGTAGGTTATCTTGAATTTTTTTTTATGGGGTAAAGCGAGTATGTAATGGTCTGCTTGTTTAGAGATATGAGACCTTCTAAGACAATACTGAGTGTTAGATATGGTGGTAGTGGTAAGTTCACGCGGTCTCAGGAAATCGTAAAAAGCTAGGTACATCTTAATGACCTGATTGGTTAGGGGTTCAAAAGGGCCTGAGTCCAATAGGTCTGAAAGGGATTGGAATAGGTGGTTATGGATAGGCAAGCTCTTCTGTGTTTGTCTGGGACCTGACTTCTGTATGTCTTTGGGTATGGTTTTTATCTGGTATGAGGACATGAAACTATGATTGATTTGTCAAAGTTTTAACATGTGGTGTTGTATTCCTGTTAGTAATAATTTGATGGTGTTGTGTGATAATTTAAGTTTGAGGTGGCAAAAGGAAGCAAATACTAGTAACATTGTCATGGCAAATGAATTAGTAATGTTGTGTTCCAAAATGAACCTTTTAAATAAAACAAAAGCCCTATCATATGCTCTTTGTGTGTAGACAGAGAGAGACAGTTGTGACAAATTCCGACTGTGTTGTTATAAGATATGTACTTCATGGTCAGGTTCTGCAACAAAGGGGCAGCCATGGCTACTCGTGTGGCTGTGGGCAGGGCTTGGTAAAATGCCTGGAATTGAAATCAAGACAGTTTGTTAGCAGCAATATTTTTAACACCTGGTACATGTATGCAGGACAAGAACAATTGGTTACAAGGTTCCAACCAACTTAACCTCCTAAGGAATCTCATTATAGTTTACAATGATGAACGCCCTTTATTGATAATGTAGCATGTGGCTTGGTTATTTGAAAAACAACATACTGAAAGACCTGACCAAAGATGACCCCAAGCCACAGCAGCCGCTACTAGTGGCTATATCTCGAATAGTGCCTAAGTAGTAGAAAAACCTTCAATGTTCTGGACTTCTGCTGGCCATATATAATGCTTTGGGGTTTTTTTTCTGCAAACATTATGCTTTGGGGGTGTCTTTCTGTGGACAAGTGCACCGCATTAAAGGGACGATGGACCATGTACAGTCAATCTTGGGTGAGAACCTCCTTCCCTCTGCCACGGCATTGAAAATAGGTCAAGGATGGGCATGACAATGACCCTTAACATACAGCCAAGGCAACAAAGGAGTGGCTCAAGAAGAAGTACATTAAAGTCCTGGAGTGGCCTTAATCCCTTAGAAAATCTGTGGAGGTTCGAGTTGCCAAACATCAGCCTCGAATCCTTAAGGACTTGGAGAGTATCTGCTAATAGGAGTGGGACAAAATCCCTCCTGAGATGTGTGCAAACCTGGTGGCCAACTACAAGAAACATCTGACCTCTGTGATCGCCAAGAAGGGTTTTGCAACCGAGTACGAAGTCGAAGGGGTCAAATACTTATTTTACTCAGTGACATGCAAATCAACAAATCTTTTTTGACATGCGTTTTTCCAGATTAATTTTTGTTATTCTGTCTCTTACTGTTAAAATACACCTACCATTAAAATTATAGACTGATCATTTCTTTGCCAGTTGGCAAACTTTTAAAATCAGCAGGAGATCAAATACTTTTTTTCCCTCACTGTAGCAATCTAGATATGA